TACTTCTTTTTGGCATGTGTTATAAATATATATTTTATTTTTTATACTTGATAGTTTTTCAAATAAAAACTTAAGAGTTAGTAACGAAGCAGATGTACTTTTTGCCTTTAAAGATATTATAGACCATGTATAACATTTTTGCCTTTAAATCTGTAAATATTAAACATTTTATACCCTTTATCCACAAATAGCTTGTTATAATTTCCAAATTTTATGTACTTTTTCATAAACAAACCATGTAACACTTAAGAATATAACAATTAATTTTTAACCAAGAATATAAAAATTAGTATTTTAAAATATTATTTGATCATAATTGCATTTATAACAATTAATATTATACCATAAATTGTTCGATTGTAAAAAGGAATTAATAATTAACTTATCGCACATAATATAAATGCATTATTTATCCATTTGTAAACTTTTTGCCTTTTAATATACATAGTATACATTTTTAATTTTTTAAAAAATATTTAAATACCAACTTCTATTATTTCATTTTTTTAAAAAACAATATTTGAATATCATTTATTCAAAAAGAATAGAATAAGAAAAGTTTGGGAAGAAGCTAATTTCGAATGAAAAAATAGGAAGATTGATGGAAATCAGAACGAAAACAATAAGAAAAGTTCTAATTAATGTTTGCTGACCGGCATGACTGCTGACATGTAAATAAATTATCAAATACGTGTGACACATGTCACAATTTTGGAAGCCAACTCTCAAGGTTGATATATAAAGATAAAGAGTTTTAAAGAAAACTACATTAGTAGTGAAGCCTGAGATGACCGCTTCATCAGCCCACCAAAATAGACCCATTTGCGCTTCACCATGATAAAAGGAGAATTGGAGCGCCTCTTAGCCCAAAGCCACTAAATAATTCAAGAGGGCAATTAATATTAATTACATTGGACCTAATTTAATATTTTACACTGGGCCTGATATCCATCTTTAATGGTAGATGCTTATTTTTTTAAAAAAAAAATCCATTTTTTTTGAAACAGAACCAAAAAAATTAGTTGCGCATTTGAAACCATAAAATATAAGTAGAAACATATCTGTCACACACAAACCTAGCTACGTTTGGAAAAATTGGAAACTCAAACTTTATTTTCAAATTCAGTTCCAAACATCTTTCTACTTATTGCATGTTTATCATCCCTTTTTGATGTAAAAGTATCTTTCTATGCGATTATACCATTTGGTTATAAATCTAGGTGGCAGTTGCTTACATATACGCACCATTGCTTCCGTAAGCAACGGTATCTTACTATCTTACACATTAAAATTTTAGTTTTTTAATAGAGCAATGCTAAAGGTACACCTTGGTGTACCCCAAATGTACACCGCTCCCTTCTCCACCATCCATTTTTATTTTATTTTTATTTATTAATTTTTTTTTTGAATTTCTTGCCTTTTTTGTGGGCAAGGAGGGAGTAGGGGACAAATGGGGTACACATTTGGTGTATCCCTAGCATTTTTCTTTTTAATAACACCCTGTAGAATTTAGCATAAAAAATATTTTTAATGATATTGTCAAGGAACCAACTCAACCACAAGCTCAATCTTATGGTTGTGGCCCAAGAACAGTTATTTATATTCTAACACGTCTCCTCACGTGCAGGCAGAGTTTTTTTCGAGTCTTGCACGTGAAACTTTTTTTTTAAACTGGGTGGCGCTGAGTTGCTTGCATTTACCATATTCTAATATGCCACTTGCTTATGAAGTTTTTAGATTATGTGACATTGTGAGGACCATTTAAAATAGAAAAATGCTAGGGGTACACCTTTGATGTACCCCATTTGTCCCCAACCCCCTCCTTGTCCACATAATTGGGCAAAAAATTTAAAAAAGATAAATAAATGAAAAATTAATTAAAAATGAGTGGTGGAGAAGGGTGTGGTGAGCAAATGAGGTACACTTTTGGTATACCCATAGCATTGCTCTTTAAAATATAAAATGTTTGTATCTTAAACTCCTCCAACTAAAGATGTTCTAACCAAACTTGACTTAATATATAGTAAAAGTCAATTTGATAAGGACCTAGTTTTCAGTATTAACTTTGTGTCTTGAAGGTCAAAATTATAGAGGACGACTTCAAACAATCATGCTTCCTCCCTTCCAATTTTAGTCTTTTTTTAACGATGAGATTTGATTGAATTTATTTTTAATTTAATTTTATAAATAATTTGTATTTGTTTTTTTTTTGAAAAAAGTGTTTTTTCTTGGTCTTAAAGTCTACGTCTAAAATGTGAATTTTCATACATATTTCATGGGTTGTGAAGTGAATCTTTCCTTTATTTGGAAAAAGTCAAACCTTTAACGGCTTCGTTTGGTAACAGCGTTTTCGATTAGCGTTAGCGTTTTGGATAAAATTTTAATGGTGTAGATTAAATCTAAAAATGCTAACGCTAAAGGCTACTGTCGGATAGCTTTTTGAAAACGCTAACGCTAATTTCTAACGCTGATGCCAAACGGGGCCAACGATATTAATATACTAAGGTCCATAAAATGAACATGAACTTTATGACATCCTAAGAATTTTCCTCTTTTGAACTAGACCGGTTGGATTGGAGTCAATGGTCATGAAAACCTTGTGTGCAGATGTTCAAATGTATAAAGCTTTTGATGATTTTTAAAGGGAAAAATCTTAAAGAAAAGATAAGCTATCTTTCAAGGCCACACTTCAGATATTTTCGAAAATCAAAATCCCCACTTCAGATATCATCACAAAAATTAAGGCCACACCCTACATTCTACACCAAAAGTCTTAAGCTATCTTTCAAGGCCCCACTAACGATATAGGCTGGTCTAAAATTTGTTTGGAAGCTTTTGATTTACTAATTCAATGGTTCACTGTCCTTTTCTTCTCATAGAATCAATATTCTATACGGAGTATTTTCTTTTGGTTCATAGACAGTGAACAAACACTCCACCTGCTAATCTTTAAACACAACATTATTTCCATTTCTTCTTTCTAGTTTCTTCTTGTTTTTCTAATTCTTTTCATTTCTTTCCAGTTTTTTCCAAGTACTCTTATTTTCTTCAAACTCTTTCTATTCTCCAAAAAATTATTCTAAAAATGATTTATTATTATTATTACAACTATTATGTTCATAAATATAATTTATAAATTATTTCATTTTTTCATCCCACTATTTTTATGATTCATACTCATTATTATTATTATTTCTTCAACTAATTAATATGAATAATACAATTTTTTTGTATATAATCTACATGATCAAATTTTATAAAAAAAACTTTGAAAGTCAAAATAGTTAAGAGAAAAAGACTATAGTAGGAGTACGTAAAACATAAAAAATGTGCAAAAATAAGAGTTCTATGTCTTTATTCCAAAAATATGCGTTACAATGAAAATAAAATAACAATCATTAAAGAAAAACAGGTTTGATTACATTTATGTGACATGTCTGGTATTTAAAACAAAATCTTGTAATATATAAAGTATAATTACGAATATATTTATTTAATAAATACTGCATAAATAAATTGAGGTGCAAAGTAACCACAATAACCTTTTAAATTTAAAATTTTGATATTTATGCTACTTTATATTCAATTTTTTTTTGCGAAAGTCATTTTTTTGTGTATGAAAAATATCAATATTTTTTTTATCTTAAAGACATTCGTTAAGATAAAGTGATAATAATAATAATAATAATAATAATAATAATAATAATAATAATAATATTAGAGCATCTCCAACCCTGTTTACTATATTGGCTTGTTATTTTTATATTTTAACAAGTGAATAGTGATATAGCAAGTACTACCTCCGTCCCATTGTCTTTGTCCAGTTTTGATTTTTGGAACTGTTCATCTAAGCACTTTGACTCATCAAATTCTCTCAATGTGTAAGCCTAAAAATAGTCATGTGTGCTCTTGTTTGATTCGTCTTAACATATAGATTATTAATATATAATGTTTATAATTTTTTAATATACAAATTACAAGATAAAATGGATTAGAGAAGTGCATTGGATGGTGTGCCAAAAGGTAAGTGGACAAAGACAGTGGGATGGAGGGAGTAATATTTTGTTCTATCCTCCAACTATGGCTTGCTAATCCATTCTACAACTCTTTGCTTCCTGTAATTTGGAGAGCTTGTTATATTTAGCTAGCGAAAGTCATTTTTTGGCAAGCTTGTTAATTTTTTTGACAATCTCTCTGGTGTGGTGATGGCCGAGCGTGCCCATGTTGTGCCTATAGCCGAGAACGACCCTCAACGTGCTCATGATAGCCGAGCTTGAATCCTTTTTCCTTAAGGCCTGATCCTAATGAGCCCATAGTCCGTGAGTAACAAGTATGAAGTACCTCATATCAAACGAACAAAATGTGAAAACAGATAGTGCTTGTGGGAAAAACGAATATGATAATATTGAAAGTAGAAAAAATTTACATTCTCCGTCCTAAAAACTTACCACGGTTTGATTTTTTGTCACACTGTGCAAAACTTTGATCACAAATTAAATATAGCTTTAAATAACTAAATGTAATTAAAATTTGATAGATCAAAACTATATTTTAAAATGAATTCAATTTTATGAAATTTACATTAAAACTAAATATTTTGTTTTTATAATTTATGATCAAAGCCTTAGCTAAATTTTTAAAAAATCAAAGTGTAATAATCGAGACAAATATTAATATAAAAGGATGAGTGTAAATTGACGTAAGAGCATGCTACATGTACTACAAAATTTGTAACTCATTTGTACACTAAATGTATGCACCAATATTTTGATGATTTACGCTAATACAAAGTGTTAGTACGTTAACAAAAATTAGTATTACACTAACACAAAATATTAGTGCATTCCTACAATGTACAAAATAATGTACAAATTCTTGAAGTAGAAATAACATTTTCGATTCAGGTATCATCATAGTCATTCGTGGGAGGTGGTGGCCCGTTGGAGCATTGTAGGCAATAATATTACCATACCTCCTAGATTCTCTACGCACTGCTAGCAATTATGACACTGAATTCTGTGCTCCTCTCTCTCTCTCTGCTCTGCTATTATGCCTTTTCCACTCACTTTCTCCACCCCTCCCCTCAAACTTATAAGAAACAGATCTCCATTTCTCTGAATCTGATTTTCAGCTTTTCGCTCCACAATCATTAGCACTCATCCAGATATCCACCGTGCGCGGCGGCGGAGGCGGCGCCACAATGCCCTCCACCGCTCATCTGTTTCTTCTTCCCGTCCTCTTCTTCTCTGCTTCCGTCGTCTCCTCCCATAATCGCCGCATTCTTCACCAACCGTTTGTCCCGATAGATTCGCTCCCTCCTTCGCTTCCTTCGCCCCCACCTCTTCCCCCGCCTCCGGCCGACGGTGCTCCGGATTATCCGTTTTCCCCTTCTACTCATAACACTACTCCTTTCTTTCCGGAAACCCTCTCGCCCCCTCCGCCGCCGGCGTTATTCTCTTCCATTCCGGCGAACATCTCTTCTTTTAATGTCACGCAGGCCTCGAAACCCAAGACTACTTCGAAGCTCGTTGCCTCCGCCGTCGCTTGCGTTGTCGCCGCCGTGATATTGGTATCCGTCGCCGTTACCTTGCATCTGCGGAAGATAAGGAAGCGTTCTTCCAGTGAGTCCAAACCCGATAGATCCGTCACCAGTACTCCATTCGATTACGGGAACAATGACGGTGGTGATCCCGTCATCCCGAAGCTTGGGAGGCCATCTAAACCTAGTTCGGAGTATCTGTACCTTGGCACTATGGTCAATTCCAGGGGAGCCATCGAATCGCACAGTCAGCAGTACTCACCGACCAGCACGAACACTAGCGCCGCGTCGTCGAGAAAAATTGACTCGCCGGAGCTTCAACCGTTGCCGCCTTTTGTTCTTGGGCGGAATTTCAGACAAAATACTGAGGCGGAGTCGTTCAGGGATGGAGAGGATGAAGAATTCTACTCTCCTAGAGGGTCGTTGGGCGGTAGAGAGAGCTCAATCGGAACTGGATCTGCTTCTAGAAGGGCTTTCGCCGCCATAGAGGTTCAAAATTTGGGCGGCGCCAACTATTCATCTTCCTCTTCATCAAGTTCGGGTTCCTGCTCTCCCCAGAGGTCTGTATCTTTGAGCATTTCGCCACCAGTGAGTTCCAGCCCGAAAAGCTCGAATTCCAATTTGCCTGAATTGGTTTCTGGACAAACAGCCCTCCCGCCACCACCTCCTCAGCCGCCGATCTCCGTGCCACGGCCTGTGATTGAAAGAGAATCTCAATCAACCTCTCCCGCGGGTTCATCTTCCCCAGAGAGAGATTCGAGAAGTTCGTATTCATCTTCTCCGAGGGTTTCTCGCATTTGGGATCAGATTATAGATTCCCCAATTCTGAATTCTCCTGTGAGAATCAGCAGCCCATTAGTTGAATCTCCCATAAGAATCAGCAGCCCTGTTGCTATTGGTTCTCCAGCAAAGGGAAGCAGTTTAGAATTGGAGTCTCTTCCTAGAAATGACCATGTTAACCAATCTCCAGCCAGAATCAATAGGCCAGGTAGGGAGAGTCCTGTGAGAACAAGCAGTCCAGTAATGGAGTCTCCGGCGAGATCAAGTGGCCATATCACTAGTTCTCTTCCAAGAATCAACAACCCTTTAGTAGACTCTCCATCTCCACAGAGAATCAGTAGTACCAATATGGAGTCTCCACCGAGAACCTGCAAACCACATAATATGGAGTTTCCCATGAGAAATAGTAGTTCTAGTCTTGACCCTCCTATGACAACTGCTGAAGCAGGCATGGAGTCTCCTGCTAGAATCAGCAGTCCAGTTATAAATTTGTCTGCTAGAAAAAGCAATAGTTTAGCTGTGGAGTCTCCCGCTCGAATAAGCTGCAATATCCTTGATTCTCATCCACGAATTAACATCCCTGCAAAAGAATCTTCACTATGCATGAATTCTCCTGACCGTTCTGATATGGAGTCTTCCAAGATTATCAATCGCCCTGTAAATCAGAATGTCCCAAAGTTGGCTCCACCACGACCACCTCCAGCACCTCCCATTAGTATTCCTTCTCAGCCACCTCCTCCTCCACCTCCTCCGCCAAGCAAACACTGGGAGAGTCCAACAACTCCCAACCCTAAACCTAAAATAACAGTATCTGAACCTCCTGACTTGGTAAATCTTGTAAGGCCCATTTCTATGGATAGTCCAACATTGATTTCTCCAATTCAGTTTCCTTCGCATTCAGAAGAGCCTGTCAACAGGAACTCAGATATCCATGAAAATGGTTCACCTGTGGAACTTGGTGAGGCGCCAAAACCAAAATTGAAGCCATTGCATTGGGATAAAGTCAGAGCAAGTTCTGATCGTGAAATGATTTGGGATCAGATCAAGTCGAGCTCATTTAAGTATGATACTTGAAGCACTTTGCTACTAATTTGTTTTAGTAATTATGTGTCTTTTTTTCATTTTAAAAAACTGTAAATACTGAGTTGGATCCTTCTCAGGTTGAATGAAGAGAGGATTGAGACATTGTTTGTTGTAAATACACCGAATAGTATTAAAAAAGAAACTGTCAGGCACTCGATGCTTCCTTCACAGAGCCAAGAGAATAGAGTGCTTGATCCCAAGAAATCACAGAATATTGCAATTTTGCTTAGGGCCCTAAATGTCACCACTGAGGAAGTATGTGATGCTCTTTTAGAAGGTATATTTAACGTGTTTTCTGTATTCCATATGGAATTCAATACGTAATGTTTATGACTGTGAAACTGCACCAGGAGATTGAAGTCTATACTCAAGTTGTGTAGTAATTTCGTTATTTTTCATTAACATCAGAATTAATGAAGACTGCAGTTGAACTGTAATAGCGTTTATGATAGTAGCATCTTTGTTTCCTTTCCATCTTCTACATTACTTTTACACTATGTTTGGTTCAACGAATTTGGAAGGAAAATAAATGAAACTGATTTTCTCTCACTTTCCTCACCAAAATGGGAAAATTTTGGTTTCTCATTTTGTCTTCTCATTTTCTTAGTGCATTTTGCCTTCTCATTTTCTTTTCCTTCCAAGTTTATTTTCTTTTTCTCTCTAACCAAACAAGAAAATAGTTTTCCATCTCATTTTCTTTTCTTTTCCCTTTCAAATTCCTTGAACCAAACATAATATAAGAGTTTACCTTCACCTGCCATGATTCCAGTATATTGAACTCTCCAAGTATTCCATTGTGATTTAAAATTCTGTAGGAAAAGCAGATGAGATGACATTGACATCTGTTTTTATCTGAATACATGTGTAGAAGACAATTTCACCGTATCTGTTTTTTTATCGATTTATATTGGAGTAAAATAGGTGAAATCCGTTCATCTCCATAGAGCTTCATTGCTGTGATTGTAAAATTGTTTATGCATGTAGAATTTGTCTAAATTTGAGGCTGAAGTTATGCATTTTATTTTTCAGGAAATGCAGATTCCCTTGGTACTGAGCTTCTAGAGAGTTTGATGAAGATGGCTCCATCTAAAGAAGAGGAGCGCAAGCTTAAAGCATATAAAGACGATTCACCATTCAAGCTTGGACCAGCAGAAAAATTTCTGAAGACAGTTCTTGATATACCTTTTGCATTCAAAAGAGTGGATGCAATGTTGTATGTATCCAATTTCGAATCTGAAATCGAATACCTCCAGAAGTCATTCCAAACACTTGAGGTGGGTACTTACTGGACAAGTTAGCAACTGTTTTTAGAGTTAATACCCTCGAGTTAGTCCCTCGACTATACATTATTACTCAATTTGGTCATTGAATATGCGATTGAGTTCCCATGTGTATATTTCACTATAATTAAGGAAGGTATTTTTGCATGCTTAGGATTAGATCTAAATTACATGGTTGAGGGCCGGATTGAGACTGAAATTTGGTCTTAATTGAGCGAAAGGACAAAAAGACCCGTCTTGTTTAGAACCAAATTCGTGGAAGGATAGAGTGCTTTCAAAATTTCATACTCAAGGACCAAATTGTGTTCAATGGATTTTTTAGGTCCAATTGATTAATTGTTGCATAATCAAGAAACTGAGTTGGATTTAACTTTTAACTTTTGTTTATCATTAGTATGGCTTATTTGAAATCATATTATTGTTGTTTGCTGATTGCCAGGCTGCATGTGAAGAGTTAAGAAGCAGCAGGATGTTCTTGAAGCTTCTGGAAGCTGTTTTGAAAACTGGGAACCGAATGAACGTGGGGACAAATCGTGGAGATGCGCGTGCCTTCAAACTCGACACCCTCCTGAAGTTAGTAGATGTCAAGGGTGCGGATGGGAAAACGACCCTCTTGCATTTTGTCGTTCAAGAGATCATAAGAAGTGAAGGCGCTCGTCTGTCTACTACAAACCAATCAAGCATTGGCAGTGATGACGATGCAAAGTGCAGGAAGATTGGTCTCCAGGTTGTTTCCAGTCTCTGTTCATCAGAGCTAACAAATGTGAAGAATGCTGCTGCCATGGATGCAGAGGTCCTCCACAGTGAGGTCTTTAAGCTATCTCAAGGTATTGTGAACATCAAAGAGTTTGTCCGGTTGAACGAAAGTAACAGCCAAAAGTTCTCCCAATCAATGAAGAGGTTCACAGAAATGGCCGAGGGAGAGATTTTGAAGCTCCAAGCCTTGGAGAGTGTAGCCATGTCTCTTGTGAAGGAGATAACTGAATACTTCCATGGGAATTCAGCTAAAGAAGAAGCTCACCCCTTCAGGATTTTCATGGTGGTGAGAGACTTCCTGGTTGTTCTTGAGCGTGTGTGTAAAGAAGTCGGAACCATAAACGAGCAAACCGTAGTTTCTTCTGCTCAAAAATTTCCAGTTCCGGTCAATCCCATGCAATTTCCAGTTCCAGTCAATCCCATGCTGCATCGGCCACAAGTCTAATGAGAGCTTGCCTTGAGATTGTGGATACCAATTTTATAGGTACAATATGTACATTTTTTTTCTCAGAGAGCATATAATGTAATAAATGATTTTGGTATCTGGTGGGTTATAGATGTATACCTAGCTGATTTTATTTGTAGAAGAATGAAAACAGCAGCATTTTGGGGAGAACTGTTTGTCATTTTTGTTTCTTGTGAACACATGTCAATAATTGCCATCTTTTGAGGTGAAAAGTGACAAATTTGGTGCCATTGATTGAGATGTGAAAGGTGCAATAATAATGCGAGGGGTACACTAAATGGTACGGATACACACAAACACTCAATGTCGATGTCTTTGCATTTCCACAAATGGTGTGTCCTCACGAATTGACACAAAAATAATTATAAGGCAGAAATACAGGTAAGCCAAATATTCTCCACCGATTGTACTACGATACTATGATCGAAATAGTTGAATCAGGACATGGAGTGATTGAAAGCAACAATTAAGTTATATCCATCTGCCTTGTTCGAAATCAGGTATTACTTGTGCAACAAATCTGCATCCACGCGTTCCAGGATGACCCGTGCCTCCTCCTCTGTGGCAGGGACTACCTTCCGGATCATAAACTTATTATTTTGAGCCTTAGCCTCCGGGCGTACAGTGAATGTGAAGTAGAACTTATTCGACACCTGCACAATACAACCATTTCTCTAAGATAACACCATTGTCACCACTTGAATCCCAACTAGTTGACACCGGTGGCATGAAAGTAATTTGACCTAATATTAGTTTTAACACTATTTATCGCTAGACTCTCACCACTCTAAGACGTCTAAGTTAACTTGTAAGTAGCATGTACCTCACTAGATCTCAGCTCTGGCCTAGTGACATGGGCAACAACTTCAACATTAATCAGTGGCTGATCTGTATGCTCGTACTCAGTGTAGAGAACACATGATTTGAATCGCAAGAAGTCTCCAACATCCACCTGCAACAAAGAAAAGGTGACATCATAACACAAAAATGCATCGAAGCGAATGAATTAAACAGAATAAATGCTACAAAAATGAACTCACGGGTCTTAGGAAATCAACATGATCGACTTCCATAAAGTATGGCATCATGCCAGCAAAAGCATACGCGGTTGAAAATGCCAATTCAAATGCCCGATGCATCAGAAACCCTCCAAAGATCCGACCGTGGATGTTTCTTTGTTGAGGCTGGCAAATCAAAGAATTCTCAAGCCTTGTGTCCCTTAGAAGAATGCTGTTCCTATCTGCCAAAGCAGGCATATCGCAGAGAATTCGACCTTCGGCTAATAGTGATTCAAGTCTGTTCTCTCCCCCATTTTCAACCTCCCTCTTGTCTCCTACTATTTTCCTCTTCCTAAGTCTATTTCTCCCCTCCGCTGCTTCATAGAGATTCTTTTCTTCATCTGTCTCCGGAGACAGGCGATTCACTGGAGCAGCTTTCTTCGTCTTATAGTCCCGCGCAACAAAAATGAAATTTGCTGTGAGTGCCCGTTCAGGAGGACCAGTTCTCCCTGCAAGTCAGATTCTCCAGATCATTACACAAGAAGACTCCTCATAAGGAGAAATATTACAAGATGAGTTTGAGTTTAAAAGAAGTACCATTGCTTGGTTGAATGACATCTAATTGAATCTCAATAGAAGAGTGGCCAACCCAGATGACGGCACCAACCATTTTCAGATCAATGTCAACGCTGATCGGCTTCTTAATCACCATCTTATCAACTGAAGCTGTGACCAGGTACAACGGTCGGGTCGTGCTATCTTCATCCGAACAATGCTGGGTTCACACCAAAACAAACAGCTAGATCATAAACCCCACACCCAAAACCTTTTTCTACCCAGCAAAATTCATAGCAGTTTCAGAATGACAATACAAGTAACAGAAGAATTCCGAACACGAATTGCAAGAATCTTCAAAGATCAAACATTTAAACAGAAAAAAACACGACGAAATTAAGATCGAAACCCGATTCGAAGGGAGAATCTTACTTTGACAGAAATGGTTCCAGCAAGGGCATCAAGATCCTCGAGAAGTTTCCCAATCCGGACCTCATTCCAAGGATCCCTATACTGCTCTCTCAGGATATAATCGGTGGAGAAGTTGTACAGTATGGTGGTTCGGCTCTGGGAAGGGGTTCTGGTGAGCAATTCACTCTGAGGGGGCGCATCCAGAGGCGGGTCCAGAAGTCTCTCGAAGATCATAGACCTCGCTTCCCACAGAGCATTGGTCACTGGAGAATGGTACATCCCAGGCCACAAGCTCAGGTGCTTTCTGTTATGGGAACCATCTGCCTTCGGTGGGCTCTCGAACGGAGAAGCTAATGTGGATACGATCGGAATGGTCTTTGAAGGAGATGAGTTGGGATCCATGGAAATGTTCGAGATTTTCTGGAGCTTCTTGATGATCAAAGAATGGTCTTTTTTGGGGAAGGATTTGAGAGCGTTTTAATGGGGTTGAAGGTTAGCAGAATAGCAGTTACGAAGATGGTAGCAGCACAGTGCTGAAGAATTTTCTTTTTTGGAAAAATATTAAATTAAAATTAAAATATTGAAAATCTACCAAAATAGGAGTTTAATATTTTTATTTCCAAAAAATATTTAAAATGCATTTACGTTACCAATCATGATCGTGTACATTACTAAAAAGTATAGTATAATGCACGTATACAGTGCCACATTAACAAATATTTACTCTTATTTATGGAATAAAAACATGAAATTTCTATTTTAGCATTTTCTTTATGTTTTCCTTCTATTTAAGGTAATTTCTTCTTCTTTTCTAGACTGAAGAGGTATATGAATTCTTGAGCACTTATTTGCTTGTCTTAACATGCTTGGCACCCTTGATAATTCATTATAGATTGTTTGTCACTAAGTTGTACATGAAAATATCTTCATTCATCAAGATGTGTACTTAAACATCATACTAAAACACCAACAATCTACATATTATTAATTTCCACACAAAATTCAACAATGAATTAGATTCTTGACCATCTGAGGTGGTACCATGTCTAAAATGGCACAATTCTTCTCTAGATTGGACTCGATGCTTCGCCTACTCACTATGTGCCTACATAACTTCCTATAGTGGATGCCAAATGTGCACTTTTTTGGATTAAGGACTTTGCACTTCTTCCTTCCAAATCTTTGATAATAAAATTTATATCACAGTTTAATGTACTTTTTTATAATTTATAATCAAAATTTAAATATGTTAACCACAAAAATCAAAATTAAACGTAACATGATACAGAGGGAGCAGAAAACCACATATTTTGAAAACTCGATCGGACCGACCAATATGATTGAACTCTTTATCAGAGGTATATCCAGTCCAAATTAAAATGGATTTAAACATGATTTAAAACTCAATTGCATTCATTGAAATTCTACCACAACTTCGGGTACCAAAAAAAGCCTTATCATAATTTAGAGAATCAATATATTAGTAGTATCACACTCATGCGTTGCACGGACCATATTTACGTTACTAAATTAAGATCATTTTTGAATGATACAAAGAATTCTTTATTCTTAGACTCTCATCAGTAGTACTTTGATTCTCATCAGTAAATAAACACTATCTTCTTTTAATTTTTTTTGAAAGTGTAATGCCTCAAAACTCAGTCTATCAAAATTAATTAATTAAAAACAGTTAATTAATTACTGACACGGACTCGGTGAAATTATGAAATATTCTTCGTTTGATAAAAAGGTTTATACCATTGTGTAAGATTTGACGGAACGAATCCAATAGTGCAAACAGATTCTGATTTGGACCGGGTACGTTAAATTAATATGGAGCCCAAAACCCCAAACCTATAAATAAACCTCTTTACACACCTAAATCCTTTTTACGCCACACATATTACGTAACTTACTCCCTCGTTCTTTTGGTTCTCTCTTGTCGATCGGAAATAGCAGCAAAGAACCAGCACAGCAGCGATGGAGAAGGAGGAGAAAAAGAAAAGAAAGAGGAAGAAGAAGAGTTCGCCGTCACGTTCTCGTACCCATGGTATTGTTGTTAGAATATATTCGTCGAATTTGAGGTGAGTACGTGGACATCTAACATATAGTTAAAGTCATATGTTTGAATCTTACGTTTGTAGAGTCGTTACTATTAAACTATGTGCACCATACGTGAATTATGCCTTGTTTATGTTGATTGTGATTTGGAAAACATGGATTGGTTTAGATAAGTTTAAGAGCATGTTAGATAATGTTTGAATATAAATTTAGAACCTTTTGATGCCTGTTATTTCGAGTTTGGTGTTGGTTTGATGTGGAAAAACGGAGCTGGTGCAGACTTGGATTTCGCCGTGACAGACGGTAGGTCGGTACCGTTGGCACGATACCTAACTACAGCCACCTGCCTTGTTTTTTCCTTCGCTTTGTCGGTACCTGTCACCAAACGGTACCTAGGTACCGAGCGGACAATAGGCCCTACCGCCAGGTCGGTAGAGGCTGCCGTGACAGGCCTACTGGATGGGAGTTACAGCTTACACGGTTGGTACCCACGTACCGTGGGATGGTACCCTGGTACTGTGGGGTCGGTACTCCCTACCGTTAAGGGTACCGTGAGGTACCTGAACCGGTCCAAATTTTATGTTTGCATCAAGGATCGATTCTCAGACTTTGTGTATTGCATGACGGTAAACATGGGGGTCAATACCTAGTGTTAGGCCACTATTTGAGTATGTTGAATATGTTGTTGATGTTTGATTGGTATATGAACATTGTATCATGAATTGTTAATGAATAATGAACGAATCACCTAGAAGAGCTCTAGGGACAGCCAGAATGGATTAGTGGCAAGGTATGCTATAAGTTAGTAAGTCAGAGTCATGTGATGGCTGTTGGGTTCAATGGATCTTCGGGTAGTTTGCATCTTATGCATTGTTTTGATGTTGTTTATGCATGTTATATCTTGTATACTGTATGACGTACGTTGCTATGCATGTTGTGTGCATGATATCGTATGATGATATGGGATAGTGGGATCATCTATGGGTATGGGTGTATGTTAAATATTTCTCACTTAGCTTCAATGTTGAGTGTGAAGCGTTTGTTCCTTTGCCGCACGTAGGTAATCTAGGGAATGAGGATCTTAGAGTTATTCCCGAAGGACAATATAATGAGGATGTTGAGATGTGCATGGCAGTGTTTGACGATTTTGAATTATTATTTATTATTTGAATTAAATTATTACTTTTTGGACATAAGTTTCAAGTTGTCTTTTGAATTATAACTTTAGCTCGTAATTGTTTTAACTATTA